AATGTAATGTAATGTAATGTAATGTAATGTAATGTAATGTAATGTAATGTAATGTATTGTATGTATGTAATGTATGTATGTAATGTATATGTGTAATGTATGTATGTATGTATGTATGTATGTATGTATGTATGTATGTATGTATGTATGTATGTATGTATGTATGTAATGTATGTATGTATGTATGTATGTATGTATGTATGTATGTATGTATGTATGTATGTATGTATGTATGTATGTATGTATGTATGTATGTATGTATGTATGTATGTATGTATGTATGTATGTATGTATGTATGTATGTATGTATGTATGTATGTAATGTATGTATGTATGTATGTATGTATGTATGTATGTATGTATGTATGTATGTATGTATGTATGTATGTATGTATGTATGTATGTATGTATGTATGTATGTATGTATGTATGTATGTATGTATGTATGTATGTATGTATGTATGTATGTATGTATGTATGTATGTATGTATGTATGTATGTATGTGAGAGTCGTCCAAAAGGTCGTTGTATTGAGCTATGAAGGGGAAGACCTTTTCGTCTTAGCGTTGACCTTAGCGAAAGTTCCGCGAAGGGGGTCCCGAAAGTTATTTTTTTTTCCGCGAAAGTTTTGTGTTGCTTGCCAACAGGAAGCTGGAGTGATGAACCATGTGTATTTCCTGGCAGTGCGCGCAGAATGCCCGCAGACTAAAGTTGGTCAGAGAATGCGCAGCCTGAGGGTCGCCGCAAGAATACGCCGCTGCAAAAGCAACTCCCAGCAAGCAGAAACCAGCTTCTGGGAGTTTTGAAGGTGTCGGGGCAAGCTGAGCGCAACTTCCAGCCGGATTTTCGCGAATGTTTGGCGTAAGATCCGCGAAAGTTTCGCGAAAGTCGACGGACCTCCCAGCCAGTTTCCGGACATGAGGCCAACGGGTCCTCTCACGCATAGTTTGCGGCTTGTGAGCTGGAGCTGCGGAAGCGCGCTTCGCGTGCTACGTGCTACTTTGGAACTGAAAGGTCGCGAGCGGAAGTTCACTTTGTGTACTACTTTCGTATTTAAAATCTCTGACTTTGGAGGCTGAGGAAGTTTAGTCCATGTACTACTTTCGTATTCAAGCCGGGCTGCGGAAGTTTACTTTTAGTACTACTTTCGCACTGAAGAGCTGCGACTTTCGAGCTGGGGCTGCGAAAGTGTACTTCGTGTACTACTTTTGTGATGAATGTTCTGAAAACAGCCCCGCGAAAGTTCCGCGATGGGATCCGCGAAAGTTATTTTTTTTTCTCGCGAAGATGGCGGTTTCCGGAACAAGGAATTTCAGACAGCCGTCATGTATGTATGTATGTATGTATGTATGTATGTATGTATGTATGTATGTATGTATGTAATGCAAATGTATGTATGTATGTATGTATGTAGGTATGTATGTATGTAAATATGCATGTATGGTATGTATGTATGTATGTATGTATGTATGCATGCATGTATGTAATGTATGTACTAATGTAATGTATGTATGTATGTATGTATGTACTAATGTAGTGTAAAGTAATGTAATGTAATTTAGTGTAATGTCATGTATGTATGTATGTATGTATTACTGTAATGTAATGTAACGTAATGTAATGTGCTATAGCGTAATGTAATGTAATGTAATGTAATGTAATGTAATGTAATGTAATGGTATGTATGTATATATGTATGTATGTATGTATGATGTATGTAATGTAATGTAATGTATGTAATGTATGTAATGTATGTATGTATGTATGTATGTATGCATGTATGTAATGTATGTACTAATGTAATGTAATGTATGTATGTATTAATGTATGTATGTATGTATGTAATGTAATGTAATGTAGTGTAATGTTATGTAATGTAATGTAATGTACTGGTATGTATGTATGTATGTATGTATGTATGTATGTATGATGTATGTAATGTAATGTAATGTATGTAGTGTATGTAATGTATGTATGTATGTATGTATGTCTGCATGTATGTATGTATGTATGTACGTATGTATGTACGTATGTATGTATGTATGTATGTATGTATGTACATATGTATGTATGTATGGTATGTAAGTATGGTATGGTATGGTATGGTATGGTATGGTATGTATGTATGTAATGTAATGTAATGTAATGTAATGTAATGTAATGTAATGTAGTGTATGTATGTATGTATGTACTAAATGTAATTTAATGTAATGTAATTTAATGTAATGTATGTATGTATGTATGTATGTATTAATGTAATGTAATGTAATGTAGTGTAATGTAACGTAATGTAATGTAGCGTAATGTAATGTAATGTAATGTAATGTAATGGTATGTATGTATGTATGTACGTATGTATGTATGTATGTAACGTATGCATGTAATGTATGTAATGTAATGTATGTATGTAATGTAATGTAATGTAATGTAATGTAATGTAAATGTAATGTAATGTAATGTAATGTAATGTAATGTAATGTATGTATGTAATTTGATGTAA